TTTTGTTTTGTTTTGTTTTTAATGGAATGTGCTAAATGTCTATAATTTTGTTCAGATGACTGCAGAACCTGGAAAAGCTGTTGCTCCTATCGATGCATAACATACTGCTATTACTAGTCTTTTTATATAAATATAAATATACATATACATATATATAAATTGAATTTTGGGAAACTTTAATGGTGCTGCCAACTTTGGAAAAAGTCATTCCAATTTACTGTGTTGAGTTGGCATTGTACAGAAATGGACAGCCATATTGGTATAGAAATGTTAATTGTTTTTATTTTTATTTTTTACTTTTTTTTCCATGTGTAAAGGGGTAGCCCATCGTACTAAATGTGTAAGGTCATATCTACATGGGTTTGATTACAGAAACTAATAAAGTATTCTCTAAATAATGAAAAAGAAAGAATAAGATAAGACTATGAGAGCAAGAAGCAATTTAAATATGTTAAGGGACCATTTTCATCTCCAGAATTAAGGATTATTTTAATATTACATCATTGCCTTTTCTCTTTTATTTTCCTTTTTAGTTTTATTTTAGGATTCCCTATTTTTAATGTTCATACAGAGATTTTTTAACTGAAATACTGAATAGTTTCTTTGGTGTGAAAAACTATAACAGTACACAGGATCCTAATGAGATAATTAATAATGTGAAATAGGAAGTAAAGGGCTAAAGGTGTAGGGAAAGTGGGAAGGGTGGGGGAAAGGTAATAAGGGAGAGGAGAAAAATATGAGAAACTGAAAAAATGGAAATAAAGTGTTTGTAAATGTGGAGGGGAGGAGGGGGTGAAGGGAGGGCAGGGAGAAGGGGAAAAAATGAGAATCAAGACCTATTACGTAAAGGTACAGAATCCCAATGATGAATGTAACTGTATTGTATACCTAGATTGTACCAATAAACTCAATAAAAAGAAAAAAAGTCAAAAAAAGAGCATATTAATCTCCAATCCAATTAATTAATTAATCCAATTAATCTCTAATTAATCTCTAATCCTTAAGGAAATGTGCTTTAGGATTTGTTTAGTACTTCAGTTCTCAGAGCTAACCATCACTTTCCCATTGCTGAAATAAAATATCTGATACACAGAACTTAAAGGAGGAGAGGGGAGGTTTACTTTTCATGGTTTTCAGAGAATTCAGCAGAAATAGCATGGCAGAAGGGCCTGGCAGAGGAAAGATGTTCAATCCTTGGCAGCCAGGAAGCACAGAGAGAGCAGGAAAGCTCTGGGGACAAGCACCATCTTTTCAGATCACACCCCAGTGACCCACCTCAAAGCAGACCCCACATCCTCTCAACAGATTCAGCCATGAACAAGTCATAGATTCACAGTGTCCCATGGTCCCATCACTTCCTAACCCTCACCTCCGAGTAGCTAAGATTTACAAGGGTGGGAAGTGGGGAAGTATTTGAGATCTAAACAGTAACACTCTCCTAGGAGGCCAAGAGACAACCTCCTCTGATGTTGCTTAGGAAGGCTTCACGGGCACAACCAGGTGGCTGCCTGGGAAAGAACGGTGAAATTCACATGGTTCACCTTTCCTCTAAGGCAGGAAACACTTCTCAGCACTCACATTTGGTTCCATAGCCATCTGTAGGAGGATCCAAATGATAGGGAACTGCTATTATTTGGGAAGCTTTAAATTATCTGAAAGTTCTTTCCTCTCTTGAGCTGAAACCTGCCATCTCATAGCACCCATTCATTAATCTTTGTTCTGTACTCAGGTGATATAAGGCTATTAATGTCCTCTTACATAGGACAAAAATTTAAGAAAGCCATCATGGTCCTGGTGAATATTTGTCCCAGTTCCTTCTCTTATTCTTCATAAGGGCATCTCTGGATCTGTCACCCCCATGATCACCACCCTCTGGATAAAATCCAATTTACCAAGGTTCCTTCAAATCTGGCACACCCAGAACTAGATGCAGTTCTATGGATAAAGTTTAAGCAGCATAAAATAGGGCAGTTTCCTCATTTATTTTAGATACTCAATTAACACGGCCTCAACTTACAATAACAGCTTCACCCCAGCATTGTTCCCTATTGAGCACACTGGTCAATGGGAACTGTGACTGCTTCTCTGGAGCACTGCAGGCCCAGCTCACATCCTCTGGAGTGCCTCATTGACACTGGAATTCACAGCACCATTGAACTGTGGCAGGTACTGTCCACTTTCACAGATGAGCAGCAGGCACATTCAAGTGAAAGAGTTTGCTGAGAATCTTATGCAAGCAAATAGAGAAGTGAATTTTTCATAAATGGCTTTTATCAGGTTGAAATAGAGACCATCGCTTTCAATTTTCTGTAGGGTTTTTTTGTTTGTTTTAGTCACTAACGGGTATTGGATTTTGTCAAACGCTTTTTCTGCATCTATTGAGATGATCATATGGTTTTTGTCTCTGGCTCTATTAATATAGTGTATTATGTTTATTGATTTTCATAAGGTGAACCACCCCTGCATCCCTGGGGTGAATCCCACTTGGTCAGGGTGTATGATCTTCTTGATGATCTTCTGCACTCTGTTTGCCAGTAGCTTATTGTGGATTTTTGCATCTATGTTCATTAGTGAGATTGGCCTATGGTTCTCTTTTTTGGCTGGGTGTTTCTCTGCTTTGGGGATGAAGGTCATGCTTGTCTCCAGGAATTAATTCAGAGTATTGCTTCCCTTTTAATTTCATTGAAGAATTTAAACAGGATTGGCAGTAGTTCCTCTTTAAATGTCTTGTGGAATTCATCAGTGAAGCATCAGGACCTGGACATATTTTAGTTGGTAAGTTTTTAATTATGTTTTCAATGGGTTGTTTAGAAATTTTAGGTCTTCTTCATTCAACTTTGGTAATTCATATGTATCTAGAAATCTGTCCATTTACTCTGTGTTTTCCGTCTTATTGGCATATAGATTCTTGAAGCAGGTATTGAGGAACCTTTGGATTTCTGCTGGGTCTGTTGTAATTTTTCCCTTTTCATTCCTAATTGCATGGATATGGGCTTTTTTTCCCCCTTTTTTTGATAAGATTCACTAAAGGTTGTCAATTTTTCTTATTCTTTTGAAGAACCAACTCTGCTTCATTGATTTTTTTTTTTTTTTGTATCATTCTCTTAGTCTCCAATGCATTGATTCTGCTCTGATCTTTACAATTTCTTCTCTTGTATGAGCTTGGGGTTTGTCTTGCTCTTCTTTTTATAGAAGCTTGAGGTTCAGCATTGGGTCGTTTATCTGAGCTTGCTCTGTTTCCTAATATGAGTATTCACTGCTATGGATTTCCCCCACAAGACTGTCTTCATTGTGTCCCATAAATTCCAATATGTTATACTGGCATTGTCATTTAATTGTAGAAGCTGTCTAATGTATTCTTTAATTTGCTCTGTGACCCAATGGTTGTTCATGAGTGTGTTGTTCAGTTTCCACGTGTTTATGAAGTTCTTGTGGTTTCTTTTGCTATTGATCTCCAATTTTATTGAACCATGATCTGATAATATGCTGGGGATAACTTCAATTCCTTTGCATTTACTTAAACATGTTCTATGAGCAAGTTGAGATTCCACCTCACTCCAGAAAGAATGTCTGCTATCAAGAAATCAACCAATAACAAATGCTTGTGGGGTTGTGGGGAAAAAGGAACCCTTCTCCGCTGTTGATGGGAGTGTAGAATGGTGCAACCACTGTGGAGATCAGTATGGAGATACCTCAAACAACTAGGATTTGACCCAACTTTTCCCCTGCTGGGTATCTTCCCAAAAGAATTAAAAGAATCATACCACAGCAATATATGTGCACCCATGTTCATAGTGGCACAATCTGTAATAGCTAAAACTTAGAGACAGCCCAAATGCCCATCAAATGGTGACTGGTTAAAAAAAGATGTGTTTTTTTTTAAATGGAGTACTATTCAGCCATAAAGAATGAGAAGCTAGAGCCATTTATAGCTAAATGGATGCACATTGAGGCAATAATCCTAAGTGATATAAATAGGACACACATGTATAAATACCAAATAGTTTCTCTGGCGTGAGAAACTGAAAGTGTAAACAAGGTTCAAATGGTATAGTGAATAATGTGAAATAGGAAGAAAGGGTCCAAGGGGGAAGGGAAAGGGGAAGTTGGAGGGGGAAGGGAAAGGAAAGAAGGGAAAGGAATATGAGAAAAGGAAAATATGGAAATAAAGTCTTTATAAATAGGGAGGGGTGGAGGGGTTGAAGGGAGGGTGGGGGAATGGGGAAAAAATAAGTACCAGATACACCATGTAAAGGTACAAATCCCCAATGGTGAATGTCATATTGTGTACCTAAAATGTACCAATAAACTTAATGAATTTTTAAAAAAGAAAATAGCAAAGTAAAGAATTCAAAGCTTTTGCTCTTGTTGACAGTTCTACATGTCCCTTTGTCCTAAATACAAATAAAACAAATAAAAAAGGGAGAGCTTTTCCAGTAGCTTTACAATAACTAAGAAGAAAGCTGGGTGTCGTGGCACATGCCTGTAACCCCAGAACTTGGGAGGCTGAGGTAGGAGGATTGCTGTGAGTTCGAGACCAGCCTGGACTACAAAGTGACTTCCAGGTCAGTCTCAACTACATAGTGAGACTCTATCTCAAACAAACAAACAAACAAACAAAGAAGAACAGTTAGAATAAGAGGACTAGGTTTAGACTTCTGTTTTGGTTGGTGTCTGTTATGGCTTGTGTCTAGATGCCCCCGCACCTCCCGCCTCATGTGGTCATAGGTAGAGCTTATCAGAGGTGACTGGATCTTGGGTGTGTGATGCTGGGGTCAAGGATGTGGTGAGGGATTGATTTGTGATGTGATGCTAGGATTAAGGATGTGAGTGCTACCTGCCCCAGGGGTGGGTAGCCTGGATAAGACATAAGGAACAGAAAGGATTTGTCACTTGGTGCTTGCTGCTTCACTGCTGACTGCTTCTGCCTGCCCTGCTTTGCCATGAACTATTTCTCCTCTGTGATGCCTGGCTGCCATTCCACCCTGCCTTGGCAACAGACTGAAACCTCTACGAACTATGAGCCAAATAAACCTTCCCTCCTTAACTTTGGTTTCAGGTATTTTGTCTCAGAAAAGTAACTAAGACAGTGTCTAAGACAAAAAAATTCTCACACATAAAATTCCATCACTCTTTCCTCTCTGGAGTCTAGAGCGAAAAAGGACTACTGACTCACAGAAATACTTAAGATGCCAATTTAGGGGTGGGAGTGTAACTCAGTGGTATAGCACATCTTTAGCATGTGAAATCCTCTCGAGTCTAGAGCGAAAAAGGCCTACTGACTCACAGAAATACTTAAGATGCCAATTTAGGGGTGGGAGTGTAACTCAGTGGTATAGCACATCTTTAGCATGTGAAAGGCCCTGGGTTCAATCCTAAGCACCAAGAAAAAGAAAAAAAGAAAATGATCAATTTAATGAGTCTCCCTGTAGCTGAAACTGCTTTGCTCATGGGATACAGATAGCTAAAAAGGATGCATGGAAAGGCACCTAAATATTTATTACAAAATTGGGGATCAAGTGCCATGAAAACACTGGTGATAATTATTTCCACTCAACACTAGCTTGAGTTTTAAAGCTCAGTCAGTGATAGAAGAGGAAACAGAGCTCGATGATTCATTTTAGCACTATTTTTTTAAAATGCCCTGGCCTGTCTCCAGCTGTTCTTTCCCGCAGAGTTCTGTCCCTCAGCTCCTCATAGTGAGTGGCTACAAAAGAAAACTGACAACTCACAAACATGATCAGAATAATAGCCGACCCCAGAAAGGAGCAGACCATTCCTAACCAGGATTAGATCATCGACTTTGGCTTTGTGCTCTGAACTCAATCTCTCCCCCTTCCAGATAACAATCCACTGAAAATGCGTGTCATGATGGCTTTGAGACAGGCTCCAGAAAATGAGAACTATTCAGGGCACTGAACTGAACCCACATTCTGCTAGCTAAAAGGAGCCAAGCTAAAACATAATCTTGCTCTGTCTGCTGCAAGCAAGGAAGGTCAGCACAAGAATGAGATAAAAGAAGACACTTCACTTTTCTTGATTTGAAACTGTATGCTTGACTCTAAGCAAATCCTTTCTCCAGTGCTGGGCATTTCGGTCAGATGTTCATTCTATCTTCCACCGAGGGCCTTTGTACCTGCTGCTCTATCTCGAAACCTTTAGCCTCATTTACATCCTATAATCTTGGCTGGCTTTTGCTTATCTTTCATATCTCTTGGTTAAAGCCTCTCTCACAACCCTTTTCAAACTAAACAATTTCAGGAATGCTAGTTTTGTGTGCTCCTCCCATCCTGCACATAGACTGTCCTTCTGGTATGTGGACTGCTGGTTTGCTTACCCTCAGTTCCCAAGGGAACACCGAAATCCCAGAACGGGGCTGGGGGCGGGTATTTTACCTTACATGGCAAAATGGGCTCTGCAGATGTAATTAAATTAATGATCTTGAGATGGAGAAATTATCCTCAGCCATCCAATGGGTTTGTTGTCCTCACAGAAATTCCTATGAGTGGAAGACGGAGGCAGAACAGTTAGAGAGGTTTGAACATCATTCGCTGTTGGCTTTCAGATGGGTAAGGGGGCAAGAGCCTAGGAAAGTGGGCAGATTCTAAGAGCTGGAAAGACAAGAAAATGCAATATTTCCTAGAGCTTCTACTAGTCCAGTTAAACTAGATCAGACTTTTGGCGCTTAGCATTATAGGATAATTTTGAGTTGCCTTAAGCCACAAAAGTGTGGTAATTTGCTATAGAAGCAAAGAAAACTAACGAACGCAGTATTTATACTTGTATTTATTTGTTGTCTTTTGTCCAACTACAAGCTCGACAAAAGTAAGTGCTGTGCTTATCCACCATTGTAGTCTCAGCATATAGCACAGCACTTGGCACTCAGAAGCAGCGGATACACATTTGTCAATTGTTTGTGATCCAGAGAAGAGATAGTAATGGTTTTATTAGATCTCACTGGGTCTCTTCTGTAATAGGTAGTGAGGAAAACCAAAGTGTTCATTCAGTCATTCCTCCAAGTATTCCACAGGCGTCTCTGTCATGTTCCAGGTGCAATGCCAGACAATTGGGCTAAGACCACGAACACAATGGACCTATTTTTTTTCCCCTCAGTGAGAATTTATACATGGCAACACCAGCACTAACCAGGAGCTCCCTTTTCTGTTACATGGCAGTGCCCAATTGTCCAAGATGATTGCGGGAGGAGGGATGTAAATCTTTGGTGAAAAATCTCATTTATATTTGCTGTCATTTGTAAAAACAAACCAAAGGGATTGACAATTGGAAGATATGCATAAGAAAGCTCTTTGTATATTCAAAGAGTTTATTAGGAAATTGGATGTACACAGCTGGCAGAGATCAGACTGAGAAACAGGCTTGTCCATATCTCTCACTCACCAATCAAGAGAAATAGACTGGCAAAATGGAATATGAAGCAAAATCCAACAATATCTTGTATACAAGAAACACATCTAGTGCAAAAAGAAGCCCACAGACTGAAAGTGAAAAGATAGAAAACAATTCTCCATGTGACAGGAGCCCAGAAAAAAAAAGGGGTAGCAATCTTATTTGCAGACAAAGTAAATTTCAAACCAAAACTGATTCTAGTATTATCAATGTAGGATGGTACTGTATCATACCTCTATGAATGTAAAATATCTAGTACCTACTTTATGATACATAGTAGGGACCGTGCTTTATCAGAGCTACATTTAATGATATTACTCTAGAATGTTCTCTTTCCAGATGATGATTAAGAGGCTAATAGAAAAAATGGTGCCAGGTACCACAGCAGCAACAGAACTTGTCTGTTGTCTGGATATTATTCTTTTCTTTGTTTTTTTTTTACACATGGAAAAAAAATAAAATAAAATAAATTAACATTTCTAGACCAATATGGTTGTCCATTTCTGTACAATGCCAAGTTAACACAGTAAATTGGGATGACTTTGTCCAAAGTTGGCAGCACTGTTAAAGTTTCCCAAAATTCAATTTATATATATATATATGTGTGTGTGTGTGTGTGTGCGATATATATATATCTATGTATATATATATATATATACATAGATATATATATATCGCACACACACACACACACACATATATATATATATAAATTGAATTTTGGGAAACTTTAACAGTGCTGCCAACTTTGGACAAAGTCATCCCAATTTACTGTGTTAACTTGGCATTGTACAGAAATGGACAACCATATTGGTCTAGAAATGTTAATTTATTTTATTTTATTTTTTTTCCATGTGTACAGGGGTAACTCATCACACTAAATATGTAAGGTCATATCTATGAGGGTTTGATTACAGAAACTAATAAAGTATTCTCTAAATAATGTGATTATTTTTTATCTTGTTCTGTTTCTTCAAGGAAAAGAATGGATAAAAAAGATGCAAACTAGAAAAATAATACCATAACAGTAGTAAAAGTACTGTAAAAATAGTATATAAACCAAGATTGTGAGGTATGTCTATAGGCACACAGACTTTTACATGTACAAAACCTTACCCCTTGTAATCTTGTTGCTACGAAGACTTGACTCATAGCAAAACTCACTAAGAACCTAAAAGAAGAAAGTGGTCTTTGCAGTTACATGCCTTTTGGTGAAGATTTACATTTGCAACATTAAAATATGTGACATACAATATTAATATACAGCACAGAACATGACAATACTAAATATCCTGTTATATAAGGGAAATGACACAGAGGATTCTATTCGGGGAGACTCTGGATGATAGCTTAATTTTCAAAAAGATATCAATGTAAATTTATATTTATTAAAATGAGAGAAAGGGATTCCATGATCATTAGATAATTTGCTCTAAATTTTTTTTTTTTTTCTGAAGTATGACTTGTTTTGTGATCCTCTTCCTTAGGAGATGGATGCAAATACATTTCTAATTTTACCATTCAATTCCCACACCTAGGTTAAACACAAGAGGCAAGGGGTGAAGAGGCAAGGGGTGTGGAATGTTTGTGGGTTCTGCAGTCCCCTGAACCTACCCACAGCTGATAGTGCAGTCCGGAGAGGCCCAGTCCATCCTGAAGTTTAGTGTGCACTCTACTGCCACCTGCTGACACCCATGAGTTCGGCCAGACACAAACTGCGAAGATTCAGGCCTTCCTGGTTTTTTATTTATTTATTTATTTTTAATTTATTGGTACATTCTAGGTAGACAGTACAGTTACATTCGTTACTGGGATCTTGTACCTTTACATGCCAGGTCTTGGTTCTCATTTTTTTCCTTTGTCCCCACCATGTATTTGCGTATGTGTGACTTATTTATCTCACTTAGAAGTATATCCTCCTGTCTTTAAGATTCAAATTCAGAATAGTCCTGTGGAAAGCTAAGAAAGCTACAGATGAACACTCTCTTCTCGCTCTCACAGTGAACATAAAAGCTCATTTGTCCCACACATCCCTGAAGTGCATGGTATTTAAGTTTTAACATTTTGTTCATTTGGGTGATAGTCTCTGGATTTATTTTGCATTTCTACAGCGACTAAGAAGGTTGAAACACTTATATAATGATCCAGTGCTCATAGATCATTTGGAAAACTCTTTTGAGGGCTGGCCACACAAGTTTTTTGTTATTTTTCTACTGGGTTGACTGCTCCCTATTGACTTGATAACTTCTTTATTCTGTATAGGATGCTTTCGCAGAAATGAGAAGTATGAGAAAAGTAATGGCATCCTTCAATGTATAGAGTTACTTTTAAGGTAAATTTAAAATTTCCGTTTACACTGAAGTAAATTTACATTTAATGTATTTTCCTCTATGATTCATCTTTTTGGGGTCTTGTTGAAGAAATCTTGGCCTATATCAAAGTCCTGAATATACTGCCAGCTACTATCTTCTAAAAGTCTTGTCATTTCTTTCATATTTAGATCTATCCTGTACCCAAAATGGATTTTTGTGTAAGTATAACATAGGGGTAAAAAACCATTTTTTCCAACTGGGGTAGACACCCGACCATCGAAAACCACCTCTTCAAAAATAAATAAATTAATTAAAAAAAAAAAAGAATGCTAAAAAAATTAGGGCTTGGGATTTAGCTCAGCGTCGGTGGCCTGCTTTGCAAGCCCAAGGACCCGAGTTCAATCCCCTGTACCAAAAAAAAAGAAAAAAAAAAAGAAAACCACCTCTTCACTGCTTTGCCTGCTGTCCTTGTCCAAAGTAACTACACACTTGCGGCCCTGTCCTTAGATGCCATTCTAGTGACCATTTATCCTTGGCCACAGCCTGGTATTTGTAAGAATAATTATAATTATAATAACAAATGAAAAATATCTGTAATAACTATAATAGAAGAATTAAAATATCTGTAATAACTATAATAGAAGTATAATATAATAGAAAATATCTGTAATAACTATAATAGAAGAATAACTATAATAGAAATATAATAGAACTAGGGATTGAACCCAAGGCCTTGCACTTGGCTCTGCTGCTGAGCTATATCCTAATGCTTTTTAAAAGATTTGAGACCAGATCTGGCTAAACTACCTAGACTGGCCTTGAACCTTCTATTCTAAGAAGAATTAATATCTGTAATAACTATAATAGAAGTATAATAGAAAATATCTGTAATAACTATAATAGAAGAATAACTATAATAGAAATATAATAGAACTAGGGATTGAACCCAAGGCCTTGCACTTGGCTCTGCTGCTGAGCTATATCCTAATGCTTTTTAAAAGATTTGAGACCAGATCTGGATAAACTACCTAGGCTGGCCTTGAACCTTCTATTCTCCTACCTCAACCTCCTGAGTAGCCAGGATTATAGGTGTGCACCTGCATCCAGAAAAGCGGGTTTTGTTTTTTTAACCCCCAGTTTCCCTTGTGACAGGCAGTTTGTTTACTACTGCTTCTAGCACACCCAGGGATACGACAAGTGTCTTAACATAGGCTCGTGTGGGACTAATCCACATCCTCTTTGGAGTTACATTAGTAACAGGGACTCTATGAGGCAGGTACTATCAATCCCTTTTACAAATGAGGACATTTAATTATGATGTGTTCACATCGTCCACGTCATAGGGGTGCAGCTGGGATTTGAACACAGGCCATTCTGGATCCAGAGCTGTACTCTCAATCTCTAACCCTGGTGCCTCACTGCTGGGCAATGTATTTCCCCGCAATCACAAAAACAGCCAAGCGACAGGGAGTGGGGGTACCAGTCTCCGAGGCCAGGGACCATCCACTATCCCAGGGTAATGGGGCTGGAGATTTCTTCTTGCCCTTTTGTCTCTTCCCTCACTTGGTATTTGTGTGGAATTGGTTCCAGAATCTACAGGGATAACAAAATCTCTAGGTGCTCAAATACTTTATTCAAATGGCATAGTGCTTGTATATAACTGCCATACATCTTTAAATCATCTCTACATATAGTACCAAATACAGTTAGTGCTATGTAAATAGTTGTTATATTGTGTTGGTTAGGGAATAAGCACAAGGTAAGAAAGTCTGTGCGTGTT